TCATTTTGCAACCGCATGGCCGATTTGGTCGATTGGCCGATTTGACCACTTGACACAATTCTACCTTTTCAAAAGTTGAAGGGGGAAGGACTTTTCACTCCCGCACTGTAGGTATAATACAGTGCTCTTCAGCTAATAATATTCTAACAATGGCTGGATACTCCGAAAGGTTGAGTCAGATATTGAATTAACTTATTGATAACATTCATACTTAGCTGGACAATCTGCAGACATCACAATATCTCTTCGCATATGTACTAATCCGACCCTGATTGTCGGCATGGGAGCACTAATCGACCATTTTTTGCGCCTTTTTTTATTTATCTTATATGTCTGACGGCAACTATACAATTCTGTTAATTGTCAGAATTAATTTTTGACTGACGTTTCTATAACCACAGTTGCAATATAAAAAATGTTTGTCATGATGACAACACGTTGAAGTAGAATGACAGATGAGTGCAATAAAAACTTTATTGCACTAAGTGCAATAAAGAACTTCTTTTTCCACTAAATATAGTTCAATAAAGTTCTGCTTTTTGCATGAATGTAGAAAAATATATATAATGTATACAAAAAACAATTCCCGGTATTTTAGACATAAGTATATTGTCATATTGATAAGATAATGCATGCTGGCCGCGTCATACTGACACAGGGAATCAATCGTATTTTAACTGTGTAAATGTGGATTTTCTGAGTAGTTCGTCGATGGATTGGTGAAGAACCCAAGTTCTTTTTGAATTTTTTTTCTGCAGTGAAATTTGTATTATATTAAATTTTTACAAACTTCACAGTGGGATGAACACCTCAATATTGGAAGCTTCCTCATGCTACTGAAGATCTGCTTAGTTTTCCTACCGTAGTTTAGCTGCAAAACCATGTAACTCCAAATTTGGTAACAGGGGACCATAATCGAATTCAATATCACCTATACTTGATATACCTTCAGCTTCGTTCTGTTTGCAAATGCAAAACCTCGTATCTTCTCTTTTCGTAACAGGGTACTATGAGTGTCAAGCAGCTATACGACATTCAATGAAACTCATGGCTACTGAATTGATAATCTACTCTCTAGGTGACACTAGTAAACAGTATGGGCAACGTAGAACTCTGAAACAATATAGCGTAATTTCTTAAACTGTGGCAAATATATCGCTGCTTCTGCAGAATAGTGACACATTTCGAAAATAGTTATTTATTATATAAGGGAAAAAAGTAGTAGATTTTAGCTTCAGGTTGTGTTCAGGTCCGCTACGCGTCGGTAGACAAAAAACCGTGAGCTAAGATCTAATATTTTTCCTGTGTATAATACACTATTTTTTTTTCTGTGACAGAAGAAAGGACGAATCAATATTGAGAAGATATTACATTATTTAGAAATATGAAAATTATCGGCGTGAAATTTTAAGTTTTTAACAGTAGGTACCTGCGTTGTAGGCATCTTTATCATTCTTTTGAAGTAATCAAATATCTGATGTTACTTCTGTCAGTCTAATTCTGTGATTTGATTTCAAAAAATTGTGAATTTAGTGGTTGTTTAGTAATATACGTAATCGCGAAGTCGAATGGAAGATAAAAGGACTTGCAGTTCTTTCTCGGAGACGGTATTATTGACTCATTTTTAGGAACTATAGCACAACAAAAGCCATCAACAGTGTATATATATGTGATATATATCCGGGAAAAAAGTACTTATTTTTTTCCCACGGGAAAAAAGTAATTTATGAAAAGTGACATTTTATAACCTGCCAACAGAGATGAAATGTCAAACTTTTTTCCCGTCACAGAAAAAGCAACTTTTTTCAGGAGAGCGTTTTCAATTTTTTTGGTGGCCTAAATTAAAATATCTAACAGGTACACCTGATTAATATTACATTCTTAAGATCTGTTAACTTCAACAGTAACTTCCAATTCTCAAGATATGGAAAATATAACTGGTATTCGAAAATGCCTGAAATTTTGATATTTTTCAAGAATTGTAAAAAATATTTCATTATTCCAAAGAAATATTCAAGGCAGTCTTGATATATTTCAAAATATGACAATATCACATGCATAACATAAGTGATTCAATAGGTACTTACTTTTTAAGAAGAATGACATAATTCGAAATATGTCATTGTTCTTGGAAATATTTGATATGCTCTGTGTTAACTAGTACTCAACAATGACTCAACTTAAATTGTGACGTTGTTTACGACATGAAGTCGAAAAAGCCGGTAGTGAAGAATAATTACATTTATGTCATCTCTCGGAGATCTTAGAGATAATGTTATAAATCATTTAACTCAGATATGCCATTTTTCGAAAAATCACTATTCTGAAGAAGCAGCGATATGTTGAAAAAGTTTTAATTGTGTCGTATCATAAGTATACATAATATGGAATATTGATGTGTTGTATGATCTCAAATATATCTTTTGGTTTCATATGAATTGAGTAATTACTAATCAAATTACATGAACTTTGGCTAGTGTCTACTTCACATTACTCTATCAGTCTATATGATGAATGAATTGCTCAAAGGAACAAGTGGACCACTGAAATTTTCGACAATTTTCAAACTGTCATAACTTTTTGAAACATTAATGGATTTTCAATCGGAATGCAGTGTTTGGAAGATGCGATCTTTCTGTTCAAGATTCCTTGTTCAAAACTCGTCGGAAGTTTTTCTGACATTATACACCAAGTGTTCGAAAAAAGTATTACAAAAATGAAAAAAGTCAAACGCTTCCGTATTCCAGGGAATTCTTTTTATTTTTCTATCAAGCGTTCTTTCCGAACGTTCAAGCCAATATCTCGAAACGGTTTTGTAATTTTCCATATTCCTCATACAGGATGTTAAAAATCGATGTGTGATATCTCAGTTATCTTTGGAGATTGAACCTTGCGGTTTTGCGGTTTTGTGCCACCTCTTTGTGTAATTCAAGATGGCCTAATCAGATTTTGCATAATTGTTTCCATTCATGAGATACATGTTGATTTCGAAAACTTATATTGTTTTAACTCCCTCTGTATCTACGAAGTCAAATTATAATCTCATCCCATAGAGAATTTCACGCAGAATCTAGTGGCGCAATCAAACTTTTTTCCGAGGTATGGTTTTGGAGATACGACTCAAACTTATGGTTTTTTGAATGGAATACCCTGTATTTTATGAACTCATCAAGTCCCTCATTGTTTTCCCTTCGAAATGATATATTATGTTTGAATATTGAATATTCAATCAAGTTTTCTTGCTGCTTCAATTCATAAAACACATGTGGATATAATATTAAAAGTATTTAATTGGAAGATCAATATGGTCTTGTGCTGTGATCATATGCCATTATGTTTTGGGTTTTTCTCTCAACATCTTGTTTTGAATTGCATTGATTTTAGCAGATGATTGAGTCGATATTGTCATTATAATGATCATTAGGAACCGATTTTCACCTTGAATTGAGAGTCTCCATCTAGATTCCAATTATTGTATTTTCTTGATCTGGATTGTCTGGATCGGGAATCTTTCGATTCTTGGACGAGATACCAATTATTAGTATAATAGGAATTTACAACTTTTTGTTAATATTACTTTTATTTTTTATTTTTTCTAGAGGGATATCGCTAAATCCAATGGACCTATTGACCTGCATCCACTATCTCATGATGGCACTGTCTTAGTGGTACTAACATTGCATATATCATGTATGGCTGAGTAATGTTTTGTTTTGTTTGTTCATTCATTAAACTTAATTTCACTGCTTCAACTTACGAGGGATTTAGTATAATTATATTTTAATTATTGATAATCGATTAGGTTCACTTGAGTACCCCTCAGAGTTATTCAAGAAGAGAAGTGATTCTGTATTTTATGGTTATTGGGATACTACCTCATTTCCTGAAAATTGTAACTAAAAATCATTGATGGAACCTCACAATCAAATCAGTAGATATTGATAGGAATATTCCTAATAGATATTTACTTCATGTCTGTGACACTTCTTGTGCGTATTAACAAATTATTACTGTTTTGATAATCTTGAAATAACTATAATTCAAAATCAAATTCTCATCATCATCATTAAATGAACATGATGCAGGTATTATTGTTCCATACACTTTTATCCATCATCACAGTTGAAATATAAGGCATATGTCACTCAATAGTTGTGGAAATAATAACCTGAAATTCAGTTTCAGTTTATGTTTATTTTTTTATCAATGTTCCGATGACATTACACTCAAATTTCTGACTGGGTACGATAACCTGAAATTCACTAGTTTCATGTGTTTTCTTTTATTAATGATTCGTTGATATTTCACTCGAATTTCTGTCAAATTTCACATTTACTAACATAACATAATTATCAAGTGATAACTTATTTTTGAATAGGTTTTTAGCTGCCAATTAATGTTGATGTACACTACGCCTGATGGTTTTCAAGATACTGAATTAAAATTGATGTATAATAGGCCTAATGGTTTTCAAAATATTGGATCTTGAAAATGTCCTGAATACTTATGGTTTATATGACGATCACATGTTTCCCTCTTTTACAAAAGTTGACCAACCAGGGCACTGGTATCAGTAACGCGCTTCAAAATAATGCATATTCCGAGTATATTCAACGTTCAATTTGTCAAATAGAATGACAGGTAGAATCAAATCCTATTTATCTGATTTCAGAAAGGAAAAATTTCTTATAAAACTAGAAAATACTTATACCGAGTTTTTAAAAGTTTGGAACCACCTAAGTATCATTGGAAAATGTTCATTATTCTTTCGAGATAAAATTGTTATTATGAGTGGTACAGATTTTTCAAAAGGGACTGTCCAATTCCAAGAGAATAAACCGTTGCAAATATATGTTATTCCTACTTTTACTAAATCTGTATATGATTTTCATGGATATTTGACAAAAGTTTTTTTGGGTTTTATATTTATGGAATAGGATAATCCGAAATAATCAGATTTGCATTGATTATGTATTATTCATATCATTTTAATATTTCAGAATTGCAGCTGAAACCTTCTCATAAACCTTATAGAATCAGGCAAATGTGGCGTTCACTGATAGAGAAATACAGTCATGCATCATACAACAGGCAACGACGAGACGAACCCAAGTTGATTCTCCAAAGGAATGTCTTCTTTCCACAACACCTAGAAGAAAAAATCAAGTTAGTATTATCGAGTTGACACTAAATTCTGAATTCAAAAGTATACAAACTGAAGAACGAATTTTCTCAGTTCATTAACGAATATCGAATGTTGTAATAAAATTTATAGGAATATGATGAATATTAAACAAACTCAACATGACTCTACATAAAATATTCATGTTCATTTATGAACACATTATTCCGTATATCTACCAGTGAATGCAAATCGATAGCATTTGTGGTTTCGATTAATGTACTTTATCCAAAATTGAAAGAATTGAGAAAATTGCATATTTATACAAGCGAGTTGCACAATGGAACGACTTACCCTTATGGGACAGGTCTGGAGATGTCTTGGTGCCCAAACTACCTCTGATGTCTCAAAGGGCTGCTCTCGGTCAGTACTTCGTGGTAACTTGGTCGGCAGCTAATCCAAGGTATACCCATGCACAATTCACCGTCGCTAGCCAAAACCGTTATTGCACAATAGCTGAGTAGCAGAAGTTCGTAAGCCAACAATAAGCAATTAATAGAGCAAAGCAAAGCAAGGTTTAATCACACGTGGGCACCAACCGGGTGTCACGCGGGAGCAGAATCTCGATCAGCGTCAATGTCTCCTGACCACTATCAATTTTACTACTAAATTCGGTGTAGAAGAACATCCGGAAACTGAGGTAGGGCAGCGCCACCAGGTAAATAGGTCGTTTTAGTGCAACTAATAGAAGCGCGGTCAAACTACATTATTTTAAAATATATAACAAAGGCTTTCCGAAACAACCAGTAATATTGTATAAGCATCTTGATACAATTAATTAGTATTACTTGTAGTAGATGGTACATAAAGATTTACCTAGTCATGTTATTACCATCTAGCGAACACATGCAACCTCTACGTCAACCGCTACTGAGTGCTACTACAATTTAACCACTTAATCATGATTGTTAGTTTAATGAAAGCTCTCAGGAACCTAGAATGAGCTGACGTATTTAATATTATATCAATATGCACAGTCTACCGAAGGTCGCTGCGATAGCATTTTCTTTCAGAGATCACAAAATTCTTGAGCCCTTTTACGAACTCCGCCACAACATCCACATACTCGAAAACATTCAGGTGTCCATCAAAATGGACCCCTGAAACCCGCATGCGAAATTTACCCGAACCAATTTTTAATCTTATGGTACTTCGGAGTGGTTCTCAAATACGTACACCAGAGGCCACATACGTTAATATTTTCGCGATTACAAAATGAATTTGCTCAGTCTATCGAAGTGGCTCCTTTCAGGGATCACAAGACCCTCAAATGCTCTACGAAGAAGCTCGCCACATCATCCACCCACCATCATTACAGATTCAGGGTGATCAGAATTCTGAATCTCGAACCACCCTGTATTTTTTCCCAATTTAATGTCAGTAGGTAGTGAATCAAAAGTTAAAATAGGGACATGTGAGCCGTTCTGACCGATAATAATAGTTTCGACACAAAAGAAATCTGAAATTGAAAGTTTTTGTTTTTGAACTCTGTAATCATTCCCGCTAGATCCCGAGTGTGATGCATTGATGGAATCGGCTCTCCAGGGATAACCTAAAATTCGATAATATACAGGGTGTCCCATTTAAAAAACCATCATCTGCCGATATCTTGTAATTCGAACACCCTATATATATATGAAAACAATTTTAGGTGATAGTTCCCATGAAACCATATAACTGTTGTATTCGATTTTATTCTACATATCTGACGGTTTGGCTAATATCGCAGGGAAACACACGATTGACTCACCTGGTGTATGATCCTTTTTCATTATTAGATGAAAGAAGTTGAAAGAAAAATATATATTTTGGCATATACAAACTGAGACATCGTGTAAAAACTGTACCTATCGACCTGATGAACCTCAACGCTCTGTAACTTGCTCTCAACCATATGTACTCATGAGGGTAGGTAAAAACTAGTATGACTTCAATTTTTCTAAAAGACCTATCCCTCACTTTCCCGGCAAAAAAAAATTGATCAACCTGTTTAAAATAGTCGATCTTCAAGATGATCATGATGTAACAATAAAATACAGGGTGAAGAACCGTGAATCAAACAGTTCGAGGAGAATGATTTTATGAACAGTGCAGAAACATTTCAGTCATAATTTCTTGTTTCAGAATTGTTTCTGAAGATAAATAATCTGTTTTGATACCTGACCTTGCATAGTTGATCAATCACCATCACATACCTATCTACTAAGTTTTAAGCTTCCATTTCATATGCGCTAGGGCCCGTGAGCTTCAACTTACGGAGTTCCCTGGCTGGAATTAAGTGGTAAATTCTTCTCATCTGGATTCAAAACAGCTGGCGCTAGTTACACCATGCCGACAGCCGACTGCTGGTAGCATATGAATACCTGAAAAATCCTCTGTAACTTAATTAAAAACAAGGATATTTCGAGGAAGTCGCAAAATGATACTTATAGGAGAATGTCTTGAACAGTTCGTGATGCGAAGGCCTCGGCAGGAGCATTTTTCGTGAATTCCTTGGTTCACTCTAAGATGGATGTTCACTCGTAGTTGCGAGTAAATTGACGCAAAAATCTTGAATTTTTCACTTCAAGCCAATTTGTAGGAATATCTTGAATAACTCCTAGTTGCGAACACTTACATCAGACCTCGTCAGTAGTAATTGATGCGAATCTCCTGAAGTACTCACCACAAGGCTATGTCGTGTGCAAATATCTCGAATAATTCGGTTCTGCGAATACTTGGAGATCGCACCAGTGACAATCGATGCGAATTTCTCAAAGTTATCGGAACAAGGTTCTACTTGCGAATTTCCCAAAGAACTCGCCTGAAGGTATATTGTATGTGAATTTCTTCGTGGGATATCGCTTAGACCTCGTTGAGAATATCCCGGCGACGGACATTTGGAGCAAAATAGTGCTCTCGACAGCCGCTCAAAAAAGTAATAAAAGGTGTCACAATTTCCTGGAAGGAGGTTGCCGAGATATCTTTAAGACTGCTTTGTGTTGGCTGGGAACTATACTTACTTCTCTGATATTCTATGTTTTTATTGAGGAAATTTTTTAAATAAATGAATACAAATGAATGCAAAATAGAAAAGACATAAGACATATTATCGCATTAGTTTTTTCGGAGCACTTTTCGCTTCGTTCGTCGTGCTCCAAACAACACGTGCGACAAAATAGTGTCGTATAAAACTTGTATAATAATATACTATTTGCTAATTCTATCGAAGTCGCTCCTTCCAGAGATCACAAGACCCTCGAGCTGCTCTACGAAGAAGCGCGCCACAACATCCTCGAGGGTCGCTACCCCTGCGAAGTCATCCACTACGTGATGCTCGGCGGCATCCAGGCGCGCATCGAGCTGGGCCCCTACGACGCGCACGCGCACACTATCCACTATTTCCGCGAGGAGCAGGCCAAGTATCTGCCGGCGCACGTGCGGAAAAGCGCCACGTGGACGTGGCTGCCGATCAGCTCGAAGCACTCGGCCGAGGTGAAGCTGCTGGAGCAGTTCAGACGGATACCGAGCGCGGCGACCAATCGGAAGTTGATGAAGAAGTATCTGGAGTTTTGTTGGTCGTTGCCGTTTTATGGGTGAGAATCTTAGGTTCGGTTGTACACAGTGAAAAAACGCTTCGAGTTGAATTCGCAGAGTATGTTTTTAGAGTTAAAATACTCTGACAAACTCACTCTGATACTGCATTCAACTCAATAACTACACTTCTCGCAGATTATCTCTTTTGAAACTAATTCTAGACTGAATTTCCACTAATCCCGTATTGAATTCACTCCATATTCCTGAAATTTCAATAAAATAGCAATTCAGATAACTCAATTCACAAGAAATTGAAATTGAATTCGTACTAGTGTTGACTGACACTAGTGAAATTGAATGTCCCACTCTTGTCGAATAAATTGACACTCTATCATTGTTCAATTCAATCTATATACGATGAAATATCAATCTATACAGTTTCAGATCGTTCAGTCTACTGGATAGTGAAATAAGTAATACTGATTATAGTTTAGATAATATAATGATCATGATATTAGCTTCAAGTAGCTTTTTTACTTTATATACCCGTGTAGTGAGAGATTTTCCGTTTTTTCCGTTTCGAACTAATATTTCGAACGATTTATGAAACAGATAGTTTGATTAATTATTAGTCTAGGGGGACTCGAGTCATTTTCCAAATATCAAACGATTAAAATATTATAACGTCACAATAGTTTTCAATATGCGCGACTGTATGAATGTGGTGCTGCCGAGGAGATTCTGCCGCTGCACGACTGCCAGAGGCCTATAAATACTGTGACATGTGAAAGAATGATTAATTCAACTTGGATGAAATCTCAACAGTACGTAGTGACTAGATTACTCAACTACTGTTCTATACCAATCCAAAATGGTGAATAAATGATAACTCCAAAACACATAGTAGTGTCAATTTGAACAATGCAGGAGCAATTTGTACATAACTCAATCAATTTCCGGTGGATCCGAAACTGTTTATAGTGTGAAATCTACTCTCTACTAATCTATTGCAACTCTCAACTTTTGTGACTATGTGATATTCGGTGATTGAATGTCACTCTAAAGTGATGACATTGACACTAGCTTGGGTCTTGAGTGGAATGTTCACGAAATTGTTTCTTTAAACTCTATTCTTGTGTTTATTCAATATATTTAGAGAAATAAATAGAGTAAGTTTGAATGTGCTTACATTGAAAATGTACACTAATTGAATTGATTGAAAAAATCACCCTGTAATATACTAAACTATAGAGTTAAATCATTTACTCTAAAGCTTAGTGATCCTCCTGAGAACAGGAATAGTGTTAAATTTCACTCTATTTTTTTTACTGTGTAGTTGCCTAGTTACTCCGCAGTTCAACTGTGACTCTGTCTTAAAACAAATTCAACCACAAATAATGTGTATTGTACTGGGTGGCTAGAATTCGAGCCACATCATTGGGATTTCGTAAACCATAAGGGATACAGGGTCGGTTGCTCATTTCGATGTCTAACAGAATGCCGTTCTGAAACTTGGGAAATCCCGATTAATTTCGGAGATATCCGAAGATATTTGAAGAGATCAATCGATATGAATAACACTGGTCACTTTTTCTTCCCTACAAGATAGCGTTTTCAAATTTGAAATCCGACGTTTCGTCTTCCAGAATCCATCATCAACTTATTTTTTTTCGATACGGGCCTGGATTTTACATTCCATTTTTTGTTACTTTTGGATAGCCCAAGTGTTGCCTATACTGCCTCAACACGGCTATCTTTAGAGCCGGCTATGTATAGGTTCATTTACAAGTTGACATAAAACAAACAAGTTATTGGATTGTTCAGATGTCTAGAAGTGAATCAACAATTTGTCTATAACAGGGTGTGAAATTCTTTCCTTTGGTAGCTCCAACTGCGTTCATATATTCTCCTATTCAGTTTAATGTGACCACGGGCTCATTTATTAATGTTGTTTCAAACGAAACTGCGAATCTATCCATTAAATTTTGGGCTGTTCAAATTTCGATTGTCGTGTCAAATGTTCATTATTCTGTTGCTGTTGTGACTCCAATAAGACGCTGACCCTAGCAAAACTATTTGTACCTTTTGTAATGACGGTCATGGTATTCTGATAGTAGATTTCTGAAAAATCTACCAACGGTTGATAACACAGCAATTTTTCTTGTAGGTATAAGTATTCTACTTTTTGTCATTCAGTATATTTTTAGAGCTGCATTTTTCGAGGGCCAAGTAGAACAACCTGTAAGAGGCTTAACTTCTTTGATGACTCATCAAGATATACCAGTACTAGTTGCGATCAACTCCAAATGTCTGTATATAATTGACGATCTTCAGTGTGTAAGCTCATGCCCTCTTTAGTAGAAACAATATCTTGCAAACCTCCAAACTTGTAGGTTATATTGTTGGGCCTCAGACTTGAGGAGTTTAGTTGGGAGTTTGCAAGGCCATCGAGAGAAGAAGACCCAAACTGTTTACCGTGCCTCTTTTTACAATTCATGGTAGTGGAAAATGGAGCGAGGGTATCGAAGATTTTGCAGGTGTTTTCGAGGCAAGCCAGCCTGATGGATACGCTCATCACTATTTTCGTTGGGCAGCTAAAATCCACAGCAACTGATGAAACTGACAAACCGATTGAAATTCATGTAAATAATGAAAATGGTGAGTTCGTAGATAGCATAATTCAAAGGCAGTGAAATTCTGATGATATTATTGTTTTTTTTTCAGGATCACATTCTTCACTTATTTTAGGAACAACGCCTCCTACAACTCTACCTTCACTTGGTAACAAATTGAATAGACTTACTCTAGCCACTTTCGATGAAAATGGTCATTGCATCGGACAAATGGGTTCTTGGTCACTCAGTTATTAATGTCTAGGAAATACACCGCGTCAGAATATCAAATACTAGTATTAAGATCACATTTTACATTTGGATTCCTGAATATTTCTAAATCTTCAAGGATGACAGCTGGGGTGACAGGTAATAATAACCAAAATGTAACATTGTATCAATTTACTATTCAAAGGAATTCACACATGAAACCCTTTGATTAACCTATATGAACACTATCAGAGGATCATTGATTCATCATCACTTAGATTGTTAGACTTGTCTACATTGCTTACCTGTTCCAGTAGATACTGTTTCTCTGTTCCATCAATGCAAATTATTTCTTGAAAAATCTGGCTATCTATCAGGAAAAATATAAGTGCAATAATTTAGTTATGTCTTTTGCTACAAACGTCAAAAATCGACAGGGTTCGCGCATTGATAACAATATGCGCAGTGACACTTTTTTTCAGTATCCTACCTTTTTGTATTATAACCTCTATGGTCCTCAATCGAGCACACATCCAAGAATCCATTTAATTATAAATGTTTTAGAATGATTAGGGCTCTTAAAGCCAGTTCAACACTATTTTTCATATTAAGCTAAGCATATTTCTACGTTAGAACTATATTTTTTGACGTTTGTAGAAAAATTGTTGATAGTAATTAGTGCGCGAAATACGTTGGTGATCTCGACTATTTTTTTGTTCAGTTCTCGATCACAAAAGTAGCATGCCGCACATTTGATACAAAAATAACTATTTTGATCGAGAGATTTCTCACAAGTTTCCCCTGTTTTTTCGAAACTATCTATAGTTGATTCGAAAAGTAAGGAACCATATTCATCACATTTTTATGTTGATCATTGAATCGTTTCATTATAATAGAATTGATTTAAAGTACAATGGATAATGTGATCTAAAAACGAATGCTTTGACATTGATAAGCAATACTGACGTTAAAATTATAGTTGAGTTTTCAGTGATAAAAAAGTTCATTTTCAACTTGGTGTATTTTCAAGAGTCAAGCTGCACTATGTATCCGATTAATTACAAAACATTCCACCTTAAGTACAATTTTACAACTAACGTCAATCATTCCTTAATCGATTCGATGCCTAATAATATGGCAGATTATCGCTGTTTGATTCAACTTACTAGGTTCGTCATCATGATAACCGAAGATTAAATGCACTACTTACGCAAAGAACATGTTCCAGTTGAATGGTGTTAGCGCTTCCATTGCAGAAGTGACTAGAAGTGCTGTCGCCGCCCATGTGCGACATGTTCATTGCGTCTGAATGTACAAATAACATCACAATCATATTGCACGTTACTTAACATAAACCCAACGTTGTATTTATGACTAGCCGTGTTTGAGGACGGCACTTGCGGGACGTGACCGAATCTTTTTCTTTGTGATATGCCGAAGGTTTTGATCGGCGATAAGCAAGAGATTTTGGCTACTGAAAGACCATTTTGGGAGACAAATATTGTTATTCAATATCCAGAGGCAAAATTCAGAAATTTATCATTTTGAGTGATTGTGCCAACATAAAAACATGATTCTTACATAATCGTTTTGACATATCGCACCCTTTTTTCAAGAGTGACTGCTCAGAATACTCGGATATCAATATTTTTATGGCATTGGGTAGAAAAATGCCTGAATTCCTATCAGTAAAACTGCCGCAAGTGTAGTTCCAACAGTTTTTACGAGCAAACGCTAGTGTCACTATTTTATCCCATTAAAATTACTTAAACAATGTAACGACGATCTAGTAAGTCATCAAGCTATCAGACCGACTGCACGGTCTTGGTCCCAATACTAGCTTAAAAAGTAGTATTTATTCCTATTTTCCTTATAAAGTGAATTTCTCGCTATTTTTCAGTTGTATAGTTTCCACTAATATAATATGAATGGAAATTATCGATTAGGAAGCGGGGATGCGATATGGCACACGGTATTTATTTCTTCTGTATTACTGGATATTTCTTTCATTTCATAGAATAATATTCTAGGTAGGAAGGTGATATTGAAAATAATAAGAGTTAGGTACACGCTCCACATCACATGCCGAATCAATGAAGCTATTATTTGAATATTTTGTGTCCCTCATTATTGAAAAACAAGTCAGTCCATTCAATCGAAAATTGAATACTTACAACTTCAGAAATTAGACATGGCGTGTCATTTGAAAAATGATATCTAACAAATATAAAATAATTTGAATGCCTTTCTATAATTCCAACGTCTTTTTATAATTCAGGTGACAAACCTACCTATCAGTATATTTTGATGAGAGATCAGTGCTATATTTGACATTGAAATATTTTGACTAAATTGCTCTGGATGGATGCATTCTTGAGGCCGTCTCAAGGCCATCTTATTTGTTCTTCTTCTGGATGAATGCAATTATTTATATACACTGATCAAATCAATAATTATTGTTAGTTTTCGCTCCGCTATTTTCACTTCAGTTATATCTTTTTGTACAATAATAGTAGTAACTATTGCACTGTCTCTCTAAATTAAAAGTAACCAAAGATTAATATGTGATATTAATATTTATGTTGATTTTTTTATATTTTATTTTGTTAATTTTACATTAATCCATTGAATATAACTGTTTCAATAGTACTTCATCGTTTTCATGAATCCCCAAGAATTATAAAATCGCAAATGAACTAGATTATGTATAAAATATATTTGAGTAAATGGTATAATTTCCTGTGAATCATTTCAAATCTCGACGCAATACTGCCAACATAGGGTGACTATTCATATATTCATTGAGTGCATCAAACCTGAAAATAAGAATTATAATTAGAGTAGTCAAATCGCTATTTATGTACATAGAAGTGCTGTTTGTACGAGTTCCATATCGAGCTTTATGTTGGTCATCTATTGTACTAATAACGAAAATATAATAATAGATTCTTTGAAAATTTCTGTAATGGATCAATCGAAAACTGCACGGCATGACAGGTAAGTGCAAACATTTTATAATGAATTAGCCCATAAAGTGGACACCTATGGACGCTACAAGAACGATGAACTCACCTTAGTGGACTTAGATCTTTGTGTCTTTGTAGGCGTATTTCCAGAGTTTTCAGGTAGAGTATCAAATCATTTACTTCTTCAAAATAGAGTGCTTCCTCTTCTGGTGTTAAGGTATCATGATTTGCTGTATAATAATTCTTCTTTTCTCTTAACAGATCACTAGTCTGAAATCACGAATAATATTTATTTATTTATTTATTTATTTATTTATCAACGGACAAGCCAATTATACCATTACAAAAGATTGTACAATATATATATTTTACAGATGACTAAGATTATATTAAAACTAAAAATTAAAACTATTACAATTTTTTAACTGCTTTTCTAAAGGATAGTAAAGATGAACCGAACAGCTCAAGCTTGTTGTTGTGAGTGTTTGCTGACTTCAGTATTCTGTTAAGGGATTCGTTTTGACCATAATTTGTTCTACAAAAAGGGATCTTGAAAATGTCACTATTTCTACTTCTTCTAGCATTTACAGAAAGTGAGGTAAGCTTAACAATTTCAGGACAATCAATACTGCCATTGATAATTTTATGGAGGAATATCAGGTCGATTTCAAGTCTTCTATGTGTTAAAGTATTCAAATTAAGGGTTTTTTGAATTTGTGAATAATTATATTCATCTCTATTCATTCCTAAGTTGTATCCACAGTATCTCAAAAATTTATTTTGAGTACTCTCCAAGAGTTCCATGTCGACTCTATAGCATGGTGACCAAATGATAGAAGAGTATTCAAGAATAGATCTGACTTCGGCACAATAGATAATCTTGAGAGCATTGACAGATAGTTCTCTTGCAGAACGAAGAGAAAAGCCCAGCATTTTTTTTGAACGAGATGAAATTTCTGTCATGTGACTCTTGAAATTCATTTTTGTGTCGAATATAACCCCCAAATCTTTAATCTTGTTGGTCTCAGATAAGTTTGTGTCATTAATCTGATAAGCATAATTGATTGCCTCCTTATTTCGTGAAAAACTAATTTTTTGACATTTACCCAAGTTTAGTTTTAGTAAGTTAATATTACACCACCTGGAAAGGTTATTTAGGTCAAACTGTAATCTCTCAGCATCAGATATGGATTGAACTGTTCTGAACACCTTTAAATCATCAGCAAATAATAGGAAGGAACAGTTGGTGATAACATTTGGAAGATCATTAACAAAAATATTAAACAGTAGTGGTCCCATGTGAGACCCCTGAGGAACCCCTGAAGGAACTTCAATTGGATCTGATACTGAACTACCATACTTGACATATTGGACTCTATCGCTAAGATAGGATTTGATCCATTCTAAAATATTACCTTCTACTCCCCAAGACTCAAGTTTAGCAAGTAGTAAACTGTGGTTGACTCTATCGAAGGCTTTCGAAAAATCTGTGTATACAGAGTCAACCTGCAGTTTATTCTCGAGAGCATTTATGATGTAATTTTGGTAAAGCAATAAATTTGTGGTAGTAGATCTACCTCTGCAGAAACCATGTTGTTCATTGATTATAATATTTTTGAAGTCCCACGAAAGTTTTTTGGAAATCAAGCAATCAAACATTTTTGGTAATTCTGATTGATTACAAATACCTCTGTAGTTGTCAACGTTGTCCCGTGAACCACTCTTGTGGATGGGTTTTATGAAACTGTGTTTCCAAAAGTTAGGGAACGTACCTTTATTGAGGGATAAGTTGAACAGGTAGTGAATGGGTTTTGCTAAAGTATAAATGCAATGTTTAATCAAATGCAAAGGGATCTCATCTGGGCCAGATGATAGTTTCCAAGGTAGAGAATGAACTAAATCTATGATTTCTTTAATGTCTATGGTGTAGGAGCAAATGTTGACAGTGTTATCAAAGGTATAATGTGGAATTTGATTGATGTTTGTATTATCATAGACAGTCCTCACGTAAGATTTTACATTGCTCTCTGAGATACTGAAAATGCCGGTATGCTTCAACATTACCATTTTTATATTCTCTGTGAACTAATTTCTTTTCAAATATCATTTGTTTCAAATCTTTGCTGAACCATGTTGGGAAGCTTGATGTTTTGAACTTTTTGACAGGAACAAATTTACGAACAGCTTGATATAAAACGTCGTAAAAGTTGCTTAAGGATGAATTAACGTCGTCATTTGATAAGGAATTCCAATCAATGCTGGCAAAGAAATCATTCATGAGGATATAATTACCATTCCTGAAATCGTAAAAGTATTCTTCGATCTTTAGATCAGGTATTTTCCTAGTATTCAGATCAAAGGCAACAGCGGAATGGTGTAGGCTATTTTGAAAGAGTGGATCCGCTGGGCTATTAACAACTATATCATGGTATGATGAAAATAATAAATCCAATTGTTGGGCGAATCAAAACATATGTGGCAATAATATATGAGCAATAACATTGCTGAACGGTGGGTCTTGGAATGGCCATCTCCTATTTTTTTAAAAGGAAACAGATCTGTTTTGAAGACGGGTTCTTCTATTTCAAAAAATTGGAACAAAATATATTTGGATGGAAGATGATTGCATTACTCATGGAATAACGAAGGTGATGGGCTTTCTGATGGTTGATTGATTCACCTATAACTGTGGCACCTTTGGACACAACAAAATTGTTGAGTGTACACATAGACACCGATCTGAAATGGCACTATCATATAATAACTTCGAAATAATATTAGTTTTCATTCTCTTCTGCAACTAATGAAAATTATGGATATGAATATACTTGTCGATGTTTATGCAAGAGTGATCTTAGTACTTTCCTACAATGTCCTTCTGTAGAGTAAAGGTATATTTCTTCATGAATGTCGGACATATAAACGTCACACATTGTTGGTCGTGTGGTTCAGAATGATTTGATCTCAATTAGGAATATATCAAATATCAGGTTTCAATTATTAAGATTTTCCATAGTATGAGACATTCTTTCTTTTACCTTTTCGAATGTTCTTTGAATGTTATTTGCTCTGTCTACCAACAGTTGTTTGAAGTCATCGTAGCAACTCTTCTTGGCATCAAGGGCTTGTTGGTAGGTCAGATGATTTGGATTCCCTGATCTGGCAAGGTAGGGAGCAAGATAATCCGTTTCCTCTTCGACTTCCTTTTCTTTGCATACTCTTTGTTGTTGTTCTTTTTCGAGCATGCCTGATCTGAAGTCTAAGTTTTGCTCCTTGTTGAACAAGGAGATGTCTAACTTGGTGAACGCTAGCTCGTGGGCTCTAGTCAACAAGAATTCTGAAATCTATAAATATCACATGTATTCTATTAACATGGAAAATAACCTGACGGTAATAACACTAACCAAACACCAAATCTAAACAGGGTAAACAGACCACTTCGACAACTCTCAAAAACCCCACTAGTTGGCGTTTGCTTATTTTTTATCGAATGAATACTTGGATAGGTACAGGCCACAGGGTGATTGTTCATAATTTACTCAATGACTATCTCAGTTAATATTGGTCTTACAGAAACGTTCAATGGACAAAAGTGAAGTATTTTAAATTGACATTCAGAATCTAGTACTAGAAAATGCAAACAAGCATCGTAAACCTGAAAAATGTTTATAACCAAGTATTTCAAATGGAACACTCTGTATTTTGTTGTTTTGAACGGTAGAGCTCTTCTGATTTAAAAAATATATATACTTCATTTTGGTTATGTTTTGTAAGTTTTTGGAAAATATAGATTTTTTGGTATAGATCTGAGGCAGGTGTAGAACGCCAGACGACAATGCTGCGATTTCTGGCGTTCTACACCTGCCATGGAATCTGAATTCTTCGAAAACTGAGAAGAGATAACCTCAATGAAGTATATATACATACAGGTTTAACTCGTCTTACTTCGACGATCGATAGCAAACATTAAAATATTATAAATGTATTTTTTTGTCATGGCGAAACTAGTTTTCATTTTACGTGGTGTTAAAGTTCGCATACATTTTTTGTTCTTATTTTTTATCAGTTGAAATGAAATTAGGTGATCACTTCTATATCGGCAATATTTTTGTAAAACATTTTTTTAAGCTACTTCAAAGTTGGGAACTATTTCCCCAGAAGTCAAAACTTGTGCGGGGTTAGGAAGAGTGGGACCAACAACTTATGGTGGAATTTGAACCACTTCTAGGGCATCGAGGTGCTGCCAGGATTACAACCATGAATCACACATTTAAATGGAAAATGCTCAGCCGATAGCCGGATTCGAACCGACAGTACGCATCGTGAACGGCTATCTAGTAAATTTCAGCTCATAGACAAACTCGGCCACGGCGCCCCACATGAACAGTTATTATCAATGAGGGGGACTTAGCTACGCTGGGTGTTGTTCTTTTTCGAGATTTTTTTATTGTGACGCTGTTGTAGATTTAACCTAATGAAAAATCATCATTTCTACACCTCACTTTGTGTTTTTCACTTGTTTCAATATCTTCCTCAGTTCTCGAGTTATTGAGCAGATCATATCAGGCGCATCCTCGGCCGCATCATAGGTACTTGATTGGTATCATTGTTCAATGCTATCATGGAGTGCTTTGACTATTGTTGAATATTGAAAATGATCAATGAAAAATGTAGTGGATACTAGATATGAAATTCTGAGATGAAGTGCTCGTGATCTATTTAATATTCAATTTGAATAATAATTTTATGTAAGATGAACAGAACTGTTATGGATAGTATAACATTATTTCAGATAACAAGGATACTAAGAAAGATACCAAAACTAATGAAAGCACGGTGAATAAATGAGGATAATTTTTCATCAGCTATAATTCACCATTAGCGTCCTAATGGAAAACATCTGTAGGGTTCCATATCAGTGGATATGAAAACAATAACACCCAGTGTAGCTAAAAGTCTGTTCATATTGCCAATAGAAAAGTACTCACCAAATTTCAAATCGCTAGGTTTTGTTTCAACAGAGATAAAAAATAAATACCAAAAATGTATGCGAACTTTAACAAGCCGTTAGACGAGTTGAACCTGAGACACCCTGTATATTATTTCACATCAGAACAGCTCTTAATAGAGGGCGTTCCATTGAAAAAAAAAAACAGTTTCCTTATGTGAAATTTTCAGGTTTACGATGCTTCTTTGCATTTTCTAGTACTAGATTCTGAATGTCAATTTGAAATACTTCACTTTTGCCCATTTGAACGTTTCTGTAAGACCAATATTAACTGAGATAGCTATCGAGTAACACATAAATAATCACCCTGTACAAAGGCTCAATCACACTAGAAATACACCCTAACGATTTTACATCATACAAAACTTATGACAAGGAATCTTCGAATTGAATTTACGTGAAAATATGCACTTTTTTATTGTTTTTGTCTACGAAGCTGCTGGTATAATATGTGTGGGAACGCGCCTTGAGTGATGAATAAGAACGTTATGACACTACTTATGATTCAGACGAAGTAATCGATGCAGTTGTTAGCGAGATACCGCCTAATGTACTTGTGGAACAAAGTGCGAGTTTGTGTACTATTACATATATCTAGGACAGCACTATATGCTAATTTTGACACACCCTGTATTTTCCGAAAACGTAATATTCTCTGTACTCCTATGTTCTTCATTTTTATTTGACATGAGACTATTTTCTTTAAATCTAATTTAGGTATTCAACTGTGAATCAACATATTTTCAATATTGACTGCATGATATCGTAAGAGCGAAACTATCGAGTATAAGTGAAAAGTACAGGGTTCGTCAATGAAACGCTAGAAAGTGATGGGTATGAAAGTCACAGGCCTGTCAGGACCCGCAGGATACCTAAAAACGAAGGTGGATCAGTTTTAAATACCTTCGTTTTTAGGTTAGGAAGGGAATTTCGAGGAATGATACGCCCTGGGATCCGCGAGGACTTTTTGGTATCCCTTGTCAAACACGTTCGATATTTTCGGTTCGAACATTTTTGGCACTACATTTTGATGGCAGGCTTCAAACTTTTCATTTATTCCAGTGGAAAATAATAATATTTCTAACAAGTGAGAAATAGTAAAATACTGAAATTCAATTATAGCTTAAAAAAACGTTACAAAATCAAAAACAGAACACAAAATACAGATATGCTCCAAACGAAAACATCTAAAATTCAACACAAAACGACGAAAAGGTAGGAATTGAAATAATTTTAACGGAAAACAAATGAAATCATGAAACTAATGGGTTTCGTTGAAGCAATTTTTAATGTGGCTATATCCTTCACATGAGTAAAAAATATACTACACTAAAGAAGCTCCTTTACTCGAAAAATCGAAATGTTGTAGGTGTAACATTAATAACTAAAAAAAAATTTGGATTGAAGTGAAAAAGGATTGAAATAAACCTGTCACCTTAAATAAAACTCAACCACGCACTCAGAACCGTTTATTGGATAGTTTTGTATCATGACACATTTTCGGCCCACGGCAAAAAAATCAAATATTCACGGCGGCGAAAGTGCATGTTGATGATTCATTGTAAATGAATTGTGAGCCATGCGGGTCCTACAGGCCAGTGACTTTCATTCCCACCACTTCGTAGTGCCCTACAGACGCCACCTCAAATCGTCCCGTTTCATTGACGAACTCTGTACTTTTTGAATATAGCTAAAACTATGTTTTTGTATTTACAATAAGGCCAATATTGAATCAGAATTAATCCAATATAATCTGCTACCTGGAGAGTCTCAATGGAATTCGTGTTTAAGGTTAGTTGTTACTATATATAAACATTAGTCAGCTGTTGAACGTATTTCGGAGCAACAGTTATTACCTGTATCTCAATATCCCTGATGCTGTTCAAGACCTTATCTTCCTCCTTCAGCTGTTCCTCGAACAGCAAGAACAACGTGAGACTCCTGATCGGTTTGGCCCCGATTTCAGCCTGATATCCGTACGTCAGCTCCGGCCTGAAGATCATGTCCTCGCCCATCTCGGAAATGGGCGGCTTCAAAGGTATATTGAAAATTAATCACAGAATACAAGATGTGCTACTTCCTCTTATTAAGTAACGTGCTGATCAAAATTTTGATAACGGTTATAACGAGATTATCAGTCATGGCGCCAGGCAGGACTATAGGTCACAGATTAACAAACCTTTTCATAGCTAAAAAAAAATCAAAATCGGTTGCGGCGTTTTCAAGTTATATGAGTAATTTTATTATGTTTATCACTATCTCAGGGCTACTTATGTGAGGCATGGTTCCTTTATTTGATTTGAGTGTGGGCTTGGCAAATGACATTCGAGGTTCTTTATAGATCATTAAGGTATTTTTGCGATTTATGTGCATTGTCCAAATTTGAAATATACCGTAATCTTGTTACTTATGATTTAAATAATAAGTACCTGCGTGAAAAAAAACAAACATGCCAAAAGCAACGCCTGCCTTTAAAACAACTTCTACAATACAAACAATGGAGATTTGGATTGCACAATTTTTTAAAATTTGGACCACTTTCTATTGTCGTTATTCCCACAATCCAAATCTCCATTTAATTTGAAGGAGGCAAACTGTACATAATGATTATTCAAACAATATTTCTTTATTACGAGGGTTTCGGGAGGGAATTCAGCAAAATTTTTAATGAATTCAAGGTATATTTGATTGTAGCAATGTTTGACAGGTCATTACACAAATAATGGAAAAAATAATTCATATAGTCTGCAAGAAATCTGTGAAAGTAGCATTTTGGATAAATTCATCAAAACCCACTCTGTTTAAATTGGAGAGCTGTAAATGTTCCTATTGTAAAAAATATATGGATGGTCAATGAACTTTGATTATACCGTAGCAACGCAATATTTCCACAGTACAAATAAATGAAAGACTATGACGTACAAATTACCCCGAAATAGTAGTAAAAATAAGGAGATTATCCTTAACTTGACAACGCCGCAACCGATTTTAATTTTTTTTCAGCGATGAAAAGACAAAAGATGTCTAAATGCATTTCCATCTGAAAAATTCTATAATGAATGTCATTTGAATCTTGCAAAATTCTAAATACACAACTGAGCACTCTGTTGAAGAACATGTCGCAAAATCACTGGATTGGTATATGTGAGACCTTGCTACTACCGTATGCCAAAAATATTTTGAATAAATGAATATACCATGCCCAATTCAACATGACTCTTCAATAGTGGTAAAAATAAAGTTATCAATCATAACTTGGCAACGCCCCAACCGATTCCAATTTTTTTTACAGTGATGTGAAGGTAAGCCTCGGCGCAATAAATTCCGAATAAACAATACTGAATGTTCTATTTAAAAAACTCGTCACCGAGTCGTCCCGCTTTCATAAAACACCCAGTAATGTTGAAAATATTTTTGAAATAATCAACTTCAGTAAGTAACTGAAAAAGTTTTTCTCTATACAAGGTGTTCCTTAAAGACATGCTAATATTCAAGGGGGTGATTCTTCAACGCATTTTAAGAAGAAAACTTTCCACTATAACGTATGTCCCAAAAGTCTTAACTTTTGAGATACAGTGTGATGAAGTTTTGAAAAAAGATCAGATATTCAATAATAACTGGAATAATATTGTAGTCATCTTTATGAGATTTGGTAAATATCTTCTATGCATCAAGGTGCATTTTTTGATGTATACAAATTTTTCTTTTCTCTACCAGAGGCGTCGTTTGGGGGATATGATTGTTTATATTATACTCGAAAGTGAGCAACGAAGGAATATTTCCAAATTTAATAAAATGCTATAAAAATCATTCAATTTCGTACAAAAAAGATCCTCTTGTTGATACCCGACAAGACGTTCCGTTTTAGAGAGAAAACGAAAACACGAGATCAAACTTCAAATTTTGATATAAATGCTAAGCTTGAGTACTTCATACAGGACAGCTATTACTGGATAACCACAGTATGTAACATTTTGAAATTTTATCATCGTTTCAGTCACATAGCAGAATACATTTTTCCATCAGGAAAAGCTATACAGAGTGGACAAAAAAAGAATCTATGTATATGTTCAACTTTGATACCCTGTATATCAAAAGTTAGAACGTTTGCGACATACGTTCATGTGAAGTTTTATTCTTGAAATGGGTCCAAGAATCGCCTCCTTGAATATAAGCATGTCATTAAGGACCACCCTGTATAGGTTATGGCTTTCGAGATTTCGAAGAATTACGCACTGAATGGACACTCTGTATATATACCTTGAGGAACGTTCTCGTCGACGCAGTAACGTTGCCTTTGCCGTAGTGGAACTTCAGGTGGATAGCTCTGTCGACGATGGCGAACTCTCTGACGGCGATATCTTCGCCTGCCGGCTTCGATTCGTCTCTGTTGTATTTCTGAACGATTTTCTGTTTCATAATATCCGATAAAATTAATACAGTCAATTACGTCCAGGGAAATCGTAAATTTCTTCAGGTCCCGAGGTCAGAAAATAGACCGCGCCTACGACTTATATCTCGGAATTTTAAAATTCTGAGTTATAACTCGGAATATTGAATGTAAAATTCAACTGTTCATGATACCAGTATATCACCTGACGAAGCTACTGTGTTAGCGAAACATGTTGTGTTCAAGAATTTTGTGGAAATCTGATCGTTTGTGAAGTTTTCACATTCGCCATGGGTAACGGCCGAGTCAATTCAAAATCCGAGATATTAATTGGAATTTTAGGATTCCGAGTTATAACTCAGAATTTTGAAGTTTGTATATTTTTTTATTTCAGGTGTCCCTGCCAGGGTTTCGTACCAGTACCTATCTCTCATGATATAAATTAGGTATTGTATGCACCATCAGGGATATCCATTGAATAAGAGGCACACACTATACAGGCTGATTCACGGTGGAAGGCACATTAGACGTTTCTAGAGAACGTAAATTGGGATTATTCTGAAAATTTGTGCCTTGGATAATTAATGGTGCTCTATCGACCTAAAATATTCTCAGCGCTGCTTCGTTGCCGCTTATATTGAAAAGTAGCAACAACTATGATTTGTTGAATGGGATACCCTGTATATTATTCCATTTTCAGATTCTCCCTGGAGAGCTGAATCCATCGACCTATAACACTTGGGGTCTAGCAGTGACAATTACAGATCTATAGGGTGTGAAATATCGAGATTTTTCAACTTTTAGATTTCTTGGTGTCGAAACTATTCATAATTGGTCAAAACGGTTTCCATATCCCTATCTCAACTTTTTATTCTTTATCAAATGATATTTAATTAAAATATGTACAAGGTGGTTTAGAATTAAGATTTTCAAACACCCTGTATCTATTTCAATCGAAAAACAATTGATAGTACATGAAAAGTTGAGATAGGGACATAACAACCGTTTTGACTAATTATGGATAGTTTCGACACAAGAAATTCTTGAAGTTGAAAAATCGAGATTTTTCACACCCTATATCTTTGTTATCATTTCCACTAGACCCCAAGGGTAATAGATGAAATCAGCTCTTTTGGAAGAATCTGAAAATGGAATAATATATAGGGTGTTCCTTTCAAAAAATCAAAGATGTTGCTACTTTTCAATATAAGCGGCAACGTCGCAGTGTTGAAAATATTTTAGGTCGATAGAACATAACTAATTATTCAAGAAACCAAATTTTCAGTATAATCCTACGTTGCGTTCTCTAGAAACGTCTATTGGGCCATCCACCTTGAATCATCCTGTATATTCACGTTATTTTTCAAAGAGGAACAAAAAACAATATGTATAGAGATAAACCTAGAATCTCTAGACTAAGAGATTCTAGTGAAATTTCGTGAATCGATTGTCAGCTGATGTAAGACAGACTGTTTCGACTTGCCAAAGGTGGATAAAGTCTCATCAGTTGCACTTGCCAGCTGACAATCGATTCACGAAGGGTACCTCCATATATCAAACAAGTCGAAGCCCTGAGGGGGCAGAAGGACGATCTAGCCTTCACAGCCATCTAGTGGCTTAAGTGTAAAGGTGTATGGTAGATTCATCAATCATACCTTGCGAGTAAGTCGTGCATATAGACCCCTACGTCTATATGCTTACAGAAAAGACATCCATGTCAGATTCTGTAGACTATCGCAACACCTGTAATTCTCAAAGTGGTTTAATGTTCCACTAACAGATGGTGATAAACCTAGAATCTCAAGACTAAGAGATTCTAGGGAAATTTCTCTCTTAGTCTTGAGATTCTAGGTTTATCACCATCTGTTAGTGGAACATTAAACTACTTTGAGAATTACAGGTGTTGTGATAGTCTACAGAATCTGACATGGATGTCTTTTCTGTAAGCATATAGACGTAGGGGTCTTACTCGCAAGGTATGATTGATGAATCTACCATACACCTTTGCACTTAAGCCACTAGATGGCTGTGAAGGCTAGATCGTCCTTCTGCCCCCTCAGGGCTTCGACTTAATATGTATAGACGTTGAATACCATAATCAGAATGTTCCGATTTGAAAGAACGAACTTTTGGTTTGTCACACTTCTATATAGGAATGCACCGGTGAAGCTTCTGACAAGCGCCTTGATAATGCCCCATCACGGCATCCAACTTCCTCATATTGTTTTTTTTTTCTGTATGAATAATATCGTATGTAAATATAGGGGTTATACCTCTTCGATAACCCTGTACATCCACTGAACATCCCATATCCCATCAAACATGAATATATAGGCAGGCCATAGCCGTCAGCAGCGGATATGTGTCGGTAGCGGCAAACCGATATAGGCATAATGTTAGAATGACATTGGTTGTGCCGTCACGGCTTGAAGTACGCTTTTTTTGCATCCATCCCGAAATTGACCGTTGTGGATAGGTCACAATCGCGCCGCTGGAGACGAACTCCATAATCTGTTATGTATGTTCTGCTTCTCACAAAAAGGGATATCCTGTAATGTTCAGAGAAAATCATGAGAACCAAGGGAAATAAGGTAGGAATTGGTGTTCTTCTTAAATTCCAGGATTTCCCCTTCCTTGGCAATGTGTTCCAGAGCCTCGCTGTTCGTTGGATGAAAGAGTCTTTGGAAAGAGATTTTCTGCAGGTCTCCAAAGTGCGACCACGAAGGGGTGCGAAGCCTCCAACTCGTCGGGTTAATCTCGCGGGGACTGCCAAGGGAGGAACAATTTTTGATATTTCAGAAGATCATCGTCCATGAAAATATCTATAATATAGAGCCAGATCGCCAACTTTTCTACGGTGTTCCAGAGAAGTGAGTGAGTTTGTGAGCGAGGCATCACCCACGAGACGAATTCCATTTTTTTGGACAGAATCTGTACCTTATAGATCATAAGCAGCTGACTGGAAGTGAAATAGGCCCTGACCCGAAACAGAAAACCATGTTTTTGGGGTGCACTTTTAGCAATTGATCTCACGTGATTTTCCCAAGTAAGGTTATTGCTGATAGTAATACCAAGCATCGAAAAGGATGTCTTCACAGGTATGGTCACTCCTGAAAAGCTTATGATGGGCACAGTGAGATCGGCTTTTCTAGAGAAAAGGCATGCTTGTGTTTTGTTTGCATCAAATTCTATTGGATCCTCAATCGAGAATTGTTGCCAAGTCCATATTTATGTTGTCAACATTTCTCCCTCGTTCGTTTCTGATTTGCCTGGCTCGTATTGGAGCCCTGGAAGAGAAGGCGGTATGGAGGGTCCCATCATCCGCGAAGCTGTGTACTGGACATGAAGTTGCTCCCAACAAATCATTGATATGGAGTCGAAATAGTGTTGGTGCTAGAATTGATCCTTGGGGAACACCAGTATTTATGATAAGAGAGTCAGAAAAAACTCCGTCGACCACTACATGGAAAGACCTGTTTGAGAGAAAACTATAGCTAGCAGAGAACATAGCTGGGAAGGCAAGCCATAAGATGGAAGCTTGGCGAGGAGTCCGTGGTGCCAGACTCGATCGAATGTATGAATATTCTCAAAACTGTGATTGTAGTGCTACGATAATGTATCTCCAGAATTCTTTTATGCATTTTTTATGGTTGATCCCAGCAAACATCGTCTGGCCTCAAGAATTATAATTTGTTACATAACTGTTATACTCGTTGTCTACCAATGTATTTTTTGTAATTATGACTCTGAGGTAAAACTATTTGTTCATTATATAACAATAATGCACCAATGCGGAGTTTAGGTCCTTATCTATATTCGACAAATATTTAGTTCACATAATAGATTAATAGATCAAAAACTGGAGAAGTAATGTCGTGGCTGTAATATTATCATACTACACCTATTCTACGTCATCAAATCAACCAAGGTAATAGAGGTATATCGTATGATCTACTATATATAGTTGAAGCCTTCGGTTCGAGACCGAGTCATGGTTAACTTTTTTATTTCTTACCGAATAGTGTCGGCAGATATCCCGTAAGACATTTCTGAAACGTTTCTGATACTGATATTTGTTTAGTGGGGCTCAACTACTATATATAATAATTATATTGAAATAGCTTGTGCATAGCTTCATGGTAGTGATGCATATGATTTCCTTGTAGGTGTGACTGATAGTGGTGATTCAATTAATAAATTATTATCAATTTCAATCGAACATTGTGATTTTTTTATATATTCTCTAACCATCCACAATAATTGTTGCTTGCGAACATATGAATAACATGATCAGAGAATCATAATCAGAATTTGAAAAAATAATCTCAACGTTTGATTGATATCGATATTTATTTATGATGAAATTCATCCGTCACACTTACATCAGGGAGATCATTTTATAAATGCACCACTATACAACTATTTCTACTTACACATCCACAGAAAAAAACATGTAAATCATTTATTTTGATACCAACCAATATGGGCCTTCTAACACCTTGAATAGTGGTAGTTTCACTTGAACCTTCTGGACCAGCTGTATAAGTGACTTGTCTGTAATAGAGCCTGAAAGAACATTTATATAAAAACTCGATGCCTACCTTTATATTTTGATCACCTGTCATCCCGTTTTTCGTAGTTTTCAGTAATTTTGTCAGGTTCCACTTCTATTTTGGAAAGAGCATCATATCGAGCCTCACTGTTGAAGAAAATCGTCCTCTCTGCATTCTCCAAATCATTGTTTTTGTGATAAACATGTTCTGAAAAATGCCTCGTGTATATGCATAATGAACTAAATTCAGCAAATTTGGGTTTGCAGCCGCTGATGAATTTGAAATCATTATAATAAATTCCTTAATGGGCGAGTGGACTGCTAATGAATTATTGGCATTCAATTACTGTGTGGTAAGGGACCTAAATTAATTTATGCAATATTTCTCACTCTTTTTTTATGTAAATAAAGAGCCTATGCCTTTTTCGAGATTGTTGAATTTAAAAGCTCATTTCGAAAGTACCGTCATGGCCACGATTTGGCGATACGTCGAATAAATGGTGACGTCAGTTTTTATACTGTTTCGTTATTGGTCCGATAATCTGCCATTCCCACTCATTAGGCAAGGTTGCCAAGTCACCAATTATAATCAGGTTATCACTAGGATGTTAAAGACCTGTCGTTGAATAAAACATAATAGGAGAAACCCATGATATGATAGTTCATTCTTGACTTTTTCGAGCAACCAGCATGTCCAAATATTTCTCAAACTCCATAACGAAATATCATGTAAATGTTGGAGACTTGGCAACATTGTGCTGAATGCTGTTGTGTTGTCACGTTTACCGCTTCAAATGTCCTCTAGTGTGAATTAATATAATCATTATCTACACAAATGTATGTAAGCAATTAGCCACAACACATGAGGGAATATTTTATTACCAATACATCAATGAAAATTTATGAATTTATGAATAACTAATATTTCTGAAGTTCCCAATCGAATTTCAACATATGGAAACTGGGCTATGGTCTGCCCCTACTTACGAAATCGTGACGTCACTTTTTACTCGCGGTAAATTTCCAGCCGTTTGAAAATAACCGTATCACTATTGATGATTTCATCACCTCAAAACCGACCGACAAATTCTTATCAATATGAAATCGAAAGGTATTCGAGTGATGATTCTATTTAAGAAATAAAAAAAAGTAGTCCACTCGCCTATTACCGAAATGATGCATAATTTCAGGCGTAACTAGCCTTTATCGTTTATGGACCTATCCATGTTATAATTCAGTATTATAGAATGATCACAAATTAAAACCAATCAGAATGTGCAAAAGTTGATGTCTTGCGCGTCATTGGATTTTTTTTTCTGTACATATTTGTGATGAATTACAGTGCATCCAACTTTGATTGAGACTGCCAGGTTTCTTGGTTGTTATTGAAGATAGAGCCTTTTGTGGTTTTCACGTTCCTGTCCCACTTTTTCGTGACACTGAATAAGGCCTAATCAGATTTCGTACAACCCCTCACTTCATACTGTGTATATCTTTATTACACACAAAAATAAGAAATCATGAGGTGAGGGGATAACTGTTTCCCTTCAAGAGATACAAGGCGATTTACCCAGCGCCGTGGCAGGAGGGAACAGACCCACTGATAAGGTGGCTCTGCAATATACTGAGAGGAAGTTTGGCTCTTGGATACATTCCTAGTATTTAGAGGAAAGTGAAGGTCACCCCATACCGAAACCTGGAAGAAATGGACAGAAAACGGCACAGTTCCTCAGACCAATTAGTCTCATGTCATTCAAACTGAATACTTTAGAGGAACAGAAACAGCACTCCATGAACTCGTTGAGAGGGTGGAAAACAAAGAAATAGTATTAGCGGCCTTCTTAGACATAGAAGGAGCCTTTGATAACACCTCAATAAACTCTTCAATTAGGGCTCTCAGACAGAGAGGAATCGAGGAACCCTGTGTGGCCTGGATGGACTTAATGCTTAATGGGAGAGACTGTAGTGGCCAGGGCAACATAAGGATGCCCACAGGGAAGAGTACTCTCCCCACTCCTGTGGAATCTAGTAATGGTCGGGCTACTGAGGGTACTCAATCCTAATGGACATAGAGCCCTTGGATACGCAGACGACATAGTAGTCTTAGCACAAGAAAAAAACAATACGACAGTCAGAGATCGCATGTAAGAGGCTCTGGAACTGGTAACGAAATGGACGTATCAAGAAGGGCTTAATATCAGCCCTCATAGGGCCACCATGATAGCATTCACACGAAGACAAAAACTAGAGAGATTAGATCCTCTTAAACTTCGAGAAGAATCAATCGAGTTGGAAAAGAGAGGTTAAATATCTCGCGGCGATACTAGATCCGTAATTGACTTGATATCAACAACTGAAAAAGACAACCAAAAAGCGGTAACGTTACTTATGATGACCAGACGCTCTTGTGGGAAGGAATGGGGACTGAGACCACACATGCTGTATTGGTGGTATAACAGGGTGATGATGCTTTCCATAACATGCCTCTCTGATAAGGTGGCGTGAGACACTACAAAGAGGGGCTATAGCAAGACTGAGCAATATACAAAAACTTGCATGTCTGGGAATTACGGGGGCCGTGGGGTTAACGCCATTCGCAGCCATGGAAACACTACTGGATCTGCCTTCCCTCCACTTGATGGTACAGGGGGAGGCGAGGCTTGGTGCCTTCATACTAAAAAATACCATGGGCAATGTCAACATAGGAGCAGGACATATGAGCATCGTCAGAATGGTGAACAGGGACATACCTAATATGAGAACAAGGTCACATTTCGAAACGATATATATACAGTATACAGACGGGTCCAAGACTGCAAATGGGCCAGGAGCAGTAGGAATATACTCCAAACATCCGAAGACTAGCATCAGCTACTCATTGGGGAAGTATGCCTTAGTTGAGCAGAGGTGTACGCAATTCTCTGTGCGGAAGAAAATAACAGGAGAGCTGAGAAAAATGAGCAGATTTGTATTGTCAGACAGTCAAGTAAGGCAATAGGAAGCCAGGAAGTGACATCTCGACTGGTATGGGATTGCAAGAGGGAACTGAGAACTTTGGCAGACCGGAACTGCGTCAAGCTAATCTGGGTGTCAGGACATCTCTTCAGAGAAAATACAGGTTGAATTTCGTAGGCGTTTTGGTTCTTGGTTTGCCAGGCTGTAATTATTGATAGTTCTTCATTGACAGCGTTAATCTGCCTTCGTCGTGAGCTCGTAGTTTACTAGGATGAGATGGGAATTCTGATGGAAGAGAGAACGCAATCTGGAGAAAATACCCCAGTTAACATACATTGATTCTAGAGATATCAGAGGTTATCACATCAATGCCACACCCGTAACTCGAAATGAGAGTCCCAATAATGAAATCACAATGACTGCTATTCCGTATCCTTTTGGTCATTCTATGATTCACACTATGATGCGAAATAAAACTCACAATATGAATTAAACGACCCCTCATTCATCATCGAAATTGATTGATTTGGTTTGTTACATGAATAGACAAGAATGTGAGCTTTCTGTGAGTCTCTTAGTTGATAAGGAGCCTGACAAATCACAAATCAATTTTAATGAAATGTGACAAATATTGCGGATGTTTTCTAAAATAAGAGTCCTCTGGCAATACCAATGATGTTTCCTTGTGATTCGCATTGTTACCTAGCGGAACATGAATGTGACATGTCAGGGATATTTGTGTTTACTGGGTACTATCATCTGCAAATCTTCGTGGACCACCAGGAACAATATGGCTAGTGTAAAATCTTACAAAAAATCCCCATCTCCGTATTTCCTCTTTTCTTGACTAGAAGGCATAGGAACCATAAACTCAAAAAATTGTTTGCGTGAATATACTGGAGATATCTCAGAATCTCAGTTCAAAATGAATGGATGCATGCATTCAACTCACTTATAACGCTGTCCTCCCTGCCATCCGCGAAGAAGTCCGTCACCAAATTGGTCTCTACATCGTTTATGGACTTGTACAGTTTGTCTCGCCTGTTGTTGAAGTACTCTTCGACGACTCTGAATTTCGTGCACTGAAAATCGTCGAAACGCGTTATCCTCTTCTCCATGCCGTCGTAAGCTACGTAGGGAGCGAATTCTTCGACGCACGTGCGTTTGTAGAACGTGGTTCTTGTGCCCTCAGGAAAACGTTTTTTCAGTACTGAAAATTAGTTTTTTTTTTTCAGAAGACTTCTCTTATATATCAGGACTGATAGGCCGCTGACTAGGGCTTCGCGAGACCAAGACCAGACTGACAACAGTTTTGGTCTTGGTCTCGAGAAATAAATTTAGTCTTGGTCTTGATATTTCAAGACCATCGAGACTGGCTTAGCCTTGGTCTTGGTCTTGATATTCTTGATCTTGGATCAAAATGCGTCTAGAAATTTGAATTATCCAATTCAAATATCCAATTATATGCATATATTAAACAATAATGTTTTTTGGGGTAATAAAGACAATCAATCAATCAATTTCGTATTTCTCTCAACTTTTGTATCAAATGGGTTTCTATCTTCAATAGGAGGAAGTATGGACCACTGTGACCTTACAACATACACCTATTTGTTGTAAATTTTAAAACTGCAATACTGTCCATCTGATTTTTCTTAATATTGAGTAGATTCAAGTTCATTATTTTTCTTTCGAGACCATCAAGAACAAGACTCTTGGTCTTGGTATTGGTCTCGAAAGTCGAACCTTGGTCTTGGCCTTTGGAAGATTTATTTGAGTCTTGGTCTCGCGAAGCCCTTTAGACACTTTCTTGCGAATGTTCTTAGGCTATGTCCCAATAATATGAAACCAATTGTGCAGCTCCGAAAGACGTAGGCTAAAAGTGTGGGGCTCAAAAAACCTCGATATTTTTCGACTTATTTCGGTTTTTAGCCCAAAAGTGCTATAAGGCGGCTTCCTAAAGAAAAAGAGAATCATACCTTTTGTGAAGCTGGAAAAATTTTCAACAATTTGAGCCATTCTTGTAAAACCAATAGAACCCAAGATACAAGACCTCAAAGTTTGGCTTTCTTCTCAAAAAGTTAAAAATTACAGTTTTGGCCCTCTTCTGAACGGAATACTCATCCAACAAGGAAGTTTACGAAGAACTAAGTTCTAGTCTATCTATAAAGCTTCAATTCATGCTCATTATCAAGCGTGTGAGCCCAATAGTACCATTGTTATCTTTAAAAAACCACTATGGCAAAAAATCGGATTTTCCTAGAAATAAAACCTGTCGATTAGATTTACTATACCAACATATTTTGAGCATTTTTGAGAATGCGAGAGCAAACAATCAATGTATTCATACTATATTTTCTGTTTTCAATAAAAGAAATATATGCATGTAATAAACTCATATTGGTACCCGATAATAATGTATGAAATCAAATGATACATGAATTATTGGAGAAATGAATCTGTATATGTATTGTTCGACTAGCCAAAGTAGTCTCGGAACGAAATGGAGGATAGCGTGTGGTGAAGGTGTTCAGTCCTCGGAGTCTAGACTAGAGTATCTAAACAATTCGGTTCTGCAGATGACGACGATTTCAAATGAACAGTGTGTTGATGATCGCAACTCTTATATTGTGCTCTGGGGCTTTGCAAATCTGCAACTTTCAATTTTCGGAGAAAGCAACTTTTTGAAGTACTCTATCTTGGGATGTTTCGGACCCAAAAATTTTGAATTGAATTCAAATAATTGTAGGGAATTTATCCATCTTCGAAAAAAATCTGATTGACTTTTTCTTTAGAAAGCTGCTTTATTGGAGTAAAAACCGAAACTAGTTGAGAAATTTCGAGCACCACACTTTTAGCCCAGGTAGCTCGAAGCTGCAAATAGTTATTTGTTTTACTAGGCAGAAAAGTACAAGATTCAATGCCGCGGCTAGCGTTTCATAGCCTAGACGTAGCCGAGGCAAGGCAACCATGTAATTCTTTCTCCAAATTCTTTTCAATTTCACGTAAAGTCCAAATAATCCATCATTTTTTGTTCACCCAGAGTCATTGTCAATTTGATTCAAATTACTTAAACGTTGTATAGCAACAAACTTTTTCTGCCTAGACAGTCAAAGCACACCTTTTCTGCCTGTTGAGTGTAATTGTTTGTCTAGGGTCAGCGGCCGATGATTAATATTCAATACCCCAGATAGCACACAAATCACACAGAAACCATTAGAAGTGCTCAAAGAGTTGAGTGAACAACTCGAATTTTAGACGTTTTTTAAAATGCGATAACTTTCTTGCAAAATATCGGAATGCAATGTTCGAAAGATGTGTCGTTTTTGTTTAGGATTCATCGTTAGAAACTTTTCGAAGTCTTTCAGTTATGACATATCATGCAAAGTGGTCAAAAAGAGTGTTACATGAGCAAAAAAGTTTAGGCGAGCTCCCGTATTCTCCAGGAATTTTTTCGACTTTCTGCAAATCAACTTTCTCAAATATTCGAGTCAATATCTCGAAATGGTTTTGGAATTTCTGACCTTCCTTATACAGATACGGAAATGAAATTAATGGCATACAAAGAACCTTCTTTGATTTTTCGAACACAGTAAAACAATAGCAATTTCGTGTTATAGCTGTACAAAAAATTGGTTCCGGGCCATCCGGTATAGTCAAGTCATCAGGTGCTGAACGGCTGCGTTTTGAAATAAATTTTGGGGTAGTAATTGACTGTTTTTTGGGGTTGGGGTGCTAACGACGAATCTGAGGTTTGCCACCACAGTTTTATCCAAAAATTGTTTTCAAGAAACATCGTAATGACTGAACTAACATATGAAATTTAATGAAGATGTTCAATAAGATGATTTCCAGTCCTTACCGTCATGAGGAATACTGATCCTCATACTCCACGATAGTGGCATATCCAAATGCTTCTCATCATACATGTCTCTAACCTCTTCCTCTTCTAGGTCTTTCGGCTTCTGCAACCTCCAGTTGATTGGTTCTCCTATTAGGAAATGCTCCCAATTTTGCGTATTGCTCAGATCGTAATCGAAATTCCCAATGCCTTTAGAAGAGTCTTGCATATTCACCTAAGATAATCCAGCGGCGAAATCAAAATTGTATCTCCGCATGAATAATAGATTCATTTAATCTTTTTTCGAAAAATCTGGAGAGGCATAAGACAATTTTGATTTGTACCACAAAGAATTCTAATTGTAATTGGAATTTCTTCGTTTTCATTCAGTAACTCAACAGAAATTTAATTCATTGTGTACAATTTTCGAGTTAAATATTGTCATTAGTGTTTCATTGGCAAAAGAATACTTACAATAGATTATTAGAGGACTAGCTAGGTACGGTATTGAATATATTTTTTTGGTCTTACAGTCTTAATAACCCATCCATGAATTATTCTATGATAAAGTGTTTCATCGATTTTGCAATTTTTGTTATGAAGTCATAGATTCAGATAATCTCTCTGATGATAATAATTTGAGGCGCAAATCATTTTCAAGTGATCCGGCCAGATATCTTATAATTACCCAATAATTGAGATGGTTCCAGACACTTTCGATTCCACAGTATGAATCCGTGTCTAGTGGATAGAAAAACCCGGTACTGGGTTCGATAAAAAGGCTAGTTTCTACTTTTCTTTCTCCGGCACGAAGAAGAATCCAAGCGTGAACTCGCAAGCCTTCCAACTCGTCAGGTGGTCTCTTTTCCTCTTCCTGTAAATAATGAAAAACAGCGCCGTATCTATCTGTGCAAGGGTTCGAGTCAGGATATACAGGTTATTTGGTACAATAACGTATATCTGGAAGGTAGTTTTGAATATATCCCATAATATAATGACGATGCATAGATTTCGGGAGGATAAAATTCAATGTTCTGCGTGGCATTAGCCAGGAAAGTAGTTGTTTTCCTCCCAAAATCTACCATTGTTATTCATTTTATGAACATTGTGAGGAAATGACTTTGAGCTTTATGTATTAATTTAACATTTCATTCCACTTTGAGCATTGTGGCTATTTCGTAGTTGAAATTACGCCAGTCGGGCAACCAGCCACTTCCGGGATTTCAGTTTTACAGTGGTTCTTTCCTTCGTTTCAACTCAGATGGCGTTGCTTTCATATTGTCTATAAAGGACGCCTCTGGGGGAATATAATGTCGACTTGATTTTTGTTTGGCTAGGCTACGCTTAGTCGATGGTCATATAGGACTGCTGGCAGGAGACTTCCCTGCAATGATGAGAGTCAAAGAGCTCGAAACCGATTTGTAGGTGTCTAGCGTGGCCTGGCTAAATCGAAATCAATAGGCATTCAGGAAAGGATCACTTGTATCAGTATTCGTTGCATAGATTTCGGGTGGATGTAAATCAATGTTCTGCATGGCATTAGACAGGAAAGTAGTTGTTCTCTTCTCGAAATCTACCATTGTTGTTAATTTTATGAACATTGTGTGGAAAAGAATTTGAGCTTTTTGAATTTATTTAACATTCTATTCCACTTTGAGCATTGTGGCTATTTCGTAGTTGATATACAGGGTGATTCAAAAGTAAGCGGCATCCTTTCAGAGGCGTATTCCTTGCATGAAAATAAGGCAAAAAGTTCCTATTGATAAGGATCCGAAAATGCTTCCTAAGGGAGCTACGGCCCTTTGAATAGGACACCTCAAAGACGGTTTTTTCTCTATAACTTTAAAATCCTTCACAACAAATTTTTAAAAATTGGTGTACGGCATAAACATTAGATGGTAAATAGGACTCCGTATTCGAAATAATTTCCAAACGAAATCACAGTAACCTGAATATCCGGAGAAGAAGGGATATTTTTACACTTACCCTCTCCCGCATGTGACGCCCCTGAATGAAATTCTGAAATTTCGAATACGGAGTCCTATTTACCATCGAATGTTTATGCCGTACACCAATTTTTAAAAATTTGTTGTGAAGGATTTTAAAGTTATAGAGAAAAAACCGTCTTTGAGGTGTCCTATTCAAAGGGCCGTAGCTCCCTTAGGAAGCAATTTCGGATCCTTATCAATAGGAACTTTTTGCCTTATTTTCAAGCAAGGAATACGCCTCTGAAAGGATGCCGCTTACTTTTGAATCACCCTGTATATGATATTCCATAATTATTATACAGGGTGTCCCGAAATTAGCCTGTCATACTTCAGTAGCAGATTCTTCGACCAAAAATAGGAAGAAAAGTTCCGATAAACATAGGTCCTGAAGAGGGAGCAAAGGCCTCCTCAAAGGGGGCTCCTGATGATGATATTTCCTGAATATTTCCGAAACGCTATGTGATTAAATGATGCAATCTGGTAGAAGAACTAAACTATCCATGCCCAATGCAGTGACAATGATATCATTCCAAAATTTCATTCAGTAGTGTTAAATACAGGATGGGCCTACATTAAATATTGCTGAAACTTGTTCTACAATTTAATCGATCAGATGTATCATTTTTGATTAAAACATATTTTTACACCCACATCTCATGCAAAACGGTGCCAATTTTCAAATCATACCTGAAATTAGCCTGCCAGTTCGAAGGGGAGTCCCTGAAGATGTTTCTCATTCCAGGGGCGCGCCTAGACACTTCGCCGCCCGTGTGCAATATGTTCTGGGCCGCCCTCGAAAAAAATTCAAATGAAACAAATTTTGAAAACTGACAAATTTTGGAAACTGAAAAGAAACAAATAATATATCAAACTCGTTTCAAGATGTCTCAAGAGATGATTGCATTCACGGAACATAACATAATATAAATAAACATAAGTAACATAACAAATAATATACGAATTGAATAATTCATATGAAATTAACAATATTTCATTAACATATGAGGTTCAGGTAGTACTTTGAGAAAAACACATGGAGGGGCGATAATATCACAGTGAAAATCATAGAGAAAATATCATTTTTCTCGCTTTCTGCTGAGAAAATTCTTCGATGAGCATGTCAACATCGATTGTTTCTAATAATTCAGATTCGAAGGATATTGAAGCAAGGTCCTGGCTCATTTTAGACCTCAAATAGTTTTTTATTATCTTCAACTTAAATTAATAAAATGTTTATACTGTGAAATCTGTTGTGGATGATTTTCTATTTTTCATGATAAATCACTTTCAATGATTTTAACTGATTGAATAAATCTGTCCCGTCTATATCTGCTTCCTTGTGATTTTCATCTGTTAACTTTTCTTGCAAATTTTCATAACTTTCGAGTTAACTTGTTTCATCAAAGTCCTTACCAAAAGCTAACTAGAGAAATCCAGAACATTAATTATAATCTTTGAGAGACTCGAATCTCTCATCGAGAGAACATATGTTGGTCGGTGATGGCATAAAAAAAATATCTTGAATTTGCGTGCTGTTGGTAGTCAGTCTGATAATCATCATTTTCCTCGTGCATAATCAAACAATTTTGGTCTCTCTCTCCTTCTAGACGTTTCTGGAAAGTATGTTTCAGAATCTGAATTATCAGCTATTGTCCGAGAATTTTTTCAAAATTTTTGAATAGTTTCCATCGGATCTGAATGCAGCAATAAAAATCTCAAATTATTCAATTGATCAAGACATGCTTCAATATTGAGTGTAGAACATGAAAAGAATTTCCTACAGATGTTGATTTTTAACAAAATTTCATGATGCCATATCAGTATGGAACAGATGAATCGAAATTCATTGATTTTGCTAGCCATTGAGAATACTTTGTGTTTAGCCGACAAATCGAAACTATCATCTTGAGATACTTCCACAAGTGCATTGAAAATGATCTTAGTCTGATGCCGAAAAGGTTTTCGTACGCGATATCGCACAGACAAAATTTTCATACAATTGAATGTAGTCCAATGGCTAAAAAAATCAATTCTTTCATTACTCAGCTAATGCCAAAGATTACTGAAATAGTTTATCTTCTGTAGTTTATGCTAATGCGAAGCGATGGTAGTATATCGCGAAAAATCGTGCCGCTATCGTCCTGACTCCTGTCACAGTAGAGAGCTTGAAAGGTTGTTTGTTCTTATTTTTTCTTCTATTAAGTGTTGTTAATTTACTGAATGGGATTGAAATTTTATTACAAGGATTCCCATAGTCTACAGAGTAATATAATGTTCAAAATAACGAAGTATTATTTAGTATCTCGTGATTGGCCGCCCCTGAGGGTGGCCGCCCGTGTGCGGTGCACGCAGTTGCCACTGTATAGGCGCGTCCCTGTCTCATTCAATATGTCCGACACCAGTAGAAGCAAAGATTTAACATGTAAGTATTCAAATTCTTGTGTATTTTTTTGTCGAGATTTTATGCAAAATTATCAAATTTTACAGAAAGAATTTGCAACTAATAAACTCCACTAGCATGCACCGTTTCCGAGTAAAACCATCTTCAGGGACTCACCATTAAGTGGCTGTAGCTGAAGCATTGATCGACCCAAGTTTATAGGAACTATTTTTATAATTCTTGATCGGAGAATCTGTTGAGGTATGGCAGGCTAAGTCCAGGTATATGATTTGAACATTGGCAACGTTATGCAAAAGATGTGGGTGTAACAATTATTTTTTAATCGATTCCACTAGAAAATGATACATCTGATGGATACAAAACTAGAGCATATTTGGGGGGGGGGGGGGTTATTTCCAATCAAACTAGCTGTACCTATATGTGGTTATCGCATTGTTGATGATTCAAAAGTTGTTCAATTCTTCCTAAAAGCACGTATTTAATGTTTAACTACACAACAACAAATTATTACAATATATATATTATCCGCACGGATAAAAATAAAATAAAAATGTTGTTATCCCAGAAAAATTAAATCGGAACAAATACAGGGTGGTTCAAGATTCAGAATTCTGATCACCCTATATCTGTTCCAATTATTATTAAAATTAATTCATTAAAAAATCTGCGACTGTTATCACATCATTCAAAAGAGCCAATACCAAGAAATATGTTTCAAACATTTGAAAGAATATTTTCCACATATACACCTCAGTAAATTTTCGCTCATAAAGTCGAAGTTGGATATTGAAGTGATTCGTTTCGTGTTCGTGGATTTTACCAAGCCACTTTTTCTATGACATGTTGATCTCATTACGTATTCCATATCGATGAAATACCTATCAAACTTCTTGGGAAAACACAATAAGATGAAATGTTATAACTTATATTATCCTACTCACCAAACTCAGAAAATCTCAGAAAACCGAAGATATCTTATATTAACTTGAAATTCGTAAAAATAATTGATATCATGTATGATTAAAATATGTTCAGAATCATCCTACCTATCACCCGCTTTCAGAAAAACATCGGTGAACCAAATACCCTGTATGGCTAGCTTCAATAACTGAAGAGCGTAATATATCAATCAACGAATGAAGATACAAAACGCGATTATCCTCCTACTCCTTCTAGAGAGATCGTAGCTAAGCAGATGACTTATATTCTCAATAACGCTCTTTGTACGTCAGTTATTGATATAATGACGTGAATCATAAAATTACAAAAACTACCTTGGTAGTAAATACACACTTTACGCCTCGAAAAGGAGTAAATAATGGTAGGTTTCAAAACTAGTGGTGGAAAAAGTCATATATTAGGTACTCACTTTTCTTTTAGTCATTGAAACACCTTCATGAATTCGTACATATCAATAACGCGATTACTATAATGATCGTTAATACGTGAAAGGTGTCAAAAAATCATCAGACATGATACATACACCCCCAAACTTCTGATGAGATTTAAAAATGACTTTTTCGTTACTTGGTCGATGATGGTCCTTCGAATTCAATTTTTTTTCCAGTGGAGCCATGGTTAGTACATTTCCATCAGAATATGATCAGTTAGCTATTTATTGAATTTAAACGAATACATGCTTCTGGTTGTTCAAAACATCCTCATGTAGGTAATGTATGCCTTGTTACTAAACAGCTAGGAAATCGAATAGATAATAGTTAACGGACGTCCTTATGACTTCTATTATATAGACGTCCTATAGTGACGTCACGAACGGATATTATGAAGCTATTAACCAATTTCCACCATATTGGTTCGTCATTCGTGATATAATTTTTCGACAAGTCACTGCAACATCATAGAACTAACTAATGTCCAGTTCTCCTAAAAATGACGTGAGATCGAAATGTTGATGTATCGTGATAATTACGTTCTTGAAAATAAATGTCCCGATTCCGTCACTAAATGTTGGTCTCGTGTTACTGACATAGTTTCACAAAATTCACCTTCGACTAGAATATAAAATATTATATACTGACCAATGTTCGCAATCGTTGCTCTTCAGCCAGTTTTTCTTCTTCCGCTTTCACTTTGTCAATTTCCCTCTGTTCCATCATCTGCAGGAATTTACTTCTCAGGTCTTTCGGAGGTTTCAGTTTGTACTTTTCGTCGACAACGTTTTCCTCTTTCAATTCCTCTTCTTCGGTAGGTTCTAGAAAGGGGCAGTCTACCCTGGAAACAATTTTCACTGTGTAGTTTATACTGGACTGGCCAAACGTTTGAAAATATATGAAGAAATAGACATGTTCATCTAATATTACGGCTCCTCAGAAATGGCAAATTATACATGACCCTCCATTTTATTTCCTTTCGGTCTCGTTCAGAATGAGTAAATATATTTCTAGATTGGTAAGCATCACTCCCAACATTCCTTATATTAAACCTTGAAATATCTTCAAGTTAGGCGAAATACACTCAGTTCCAAAAAAAGTGACGCACTTGATATTTGACCTATCTTCTTGAAAAAAAAAAACAAAGAATAGTAGGCTGATTTTTATTTTTTTTATTTGTTGGTAGGTAATGCATTTGTCTTCTTGAAAAAAAAAAACAAAAAATAGTAGGCCGATTTTTATTTTGTTTTATTTGTTGGTAGGTAATGCATTTGTCTTTAAAAAAAAATAGAGGTGAAAATTTTTTCAAAGTCTCCTTGATGGTGGTGAAATAACTCGAACCATGATTTATTCTTAATTTTTGACTCACCCTGTGTGTTAATTGAGTAGTGGTATACAAAGTGCTTGCACCCTATACGGAAGAGGCTTCTTTAGCGAGCATTTTGTTTTTTTATTCATTGATTTATCTCAAAAATTTTTCGAATTACAGCTTTTTTGCTGATACCTTACGCTTATCCCACAAATTGAATTTATTGAAGGATCAGAGTACTCAAAATTGGTTGGGTTGTACTCTGGTAGGATCACATTGTCTTCAAAACAAAAAACAAATGCCGTTGCCATAGCAACTAATTTGTTGTATGCCTCCATATTTGACCATTTGTCGATGTGTCATTAATTGTCTTGTTTTATTGACTAAAATTACATAAAATGCCTCAAATAAATCCTGAACAAGTAGCAAGATTAGTTGCGTTAGTAAACGATGGGCGTAGTAAACGTTACGCCGCTCGTGTAGTGGGAGTTCACGAAGCAACTGCTCGTAGAGCAATCCGCAAGTAAGATCAAACAGGAAGCACCGCTCGGAGGGTCAGTTCTGGTCGCCCACGAAAAACTTCTCCAAGAGATGATCGCTTCTTGAGATTGCGGATTTTACCGAATCGATCAAATACTGCGGTAAATGTTCAGCAAGATCTTCGCCAAATTCGTGATGTTGCAGTAAGTAAGCAGACGGTATGTAGACGTCTAAAAGAAGTTAATTTAAAAGCTAGGAGACCTGCAAAAGGTCCCAACTTATTGCCCGAACATCGTGCTGCTAGAAGAAATTTTGTTGAAAATTATGGACAGTGGAATAATATTCCTGAATGGTCGAATGTCTTGTTTACGGATGAGTCAAGGTTTTGCCTTCACATGGTGGATGGAAGAAAAAGAGTGTGGAGAAGAACTGGTGAACGGTTTAATCAAAAATTAATAACAGAATGCGAAAGTTTTAATGGAGGGTCCGTTATGGTGTGGGGAGGGATTTCAATGAATGGAAAGACACCCCTTCATGTTTTTCCGGTGAGGCAGTCGATGAATGCCCAAATTTACATTGACATTTTAGAGCAATATGTCTTACCTTATGCAGAGTTAGTGGGCAATATAGTCAAGCAGCACTGAAAGCGCTTGAATCCAACTGCTTTAAATCTAGAGCAGTATGGAACTGCAGAGAAACCTTGAACCAACTAGCAGAACGTAACAACGTGAACCTAGTTTGGATACCAGGTCACACGGGCCTAGTAGGAAACGAAATAGCGGACGCCCTAGCAAAAGGGGGGGCCGAAACACCGTTCACTGGGCCAGAACCGATCATCGGTATAGCATATTATAGCACTGCCAAGAATGCTATAACATCCTGGGCAGATAAGAAAAGACTCGAGTATTGGCGCAGTCTACCGGGCCTAGCCCATTCCAAAGCATTTATTGCTGGTACAAGGAACAAACAGGACACTGACAAACTACTAGAACTCAGCAGAGCAGATCTCAGAGTTATATAGTAGGGTTGCTCACTGGCCACTGCAAACTCAAATACCACATGCACAAAATCGGACTTGCACAAGATGCAGAGTGCCGCCTATGTATGGAGGAGGATGAAACGGCGAAACACATCCTGTGTACATGCCCCGCAGCGGCCAGAACCAGATTTTCAATATTCGGCAATACAATAGTAAGGCCAGAAAACCTGGTAAATTGTTCTCCCAACGCAATCCTCAATTTCGTTAAGAAATTGGATATACAGGGAGAAATATAACCCTAGGGTGAGCCACAATAGGCCAATGGCCGCAGTGGAGGGCCTGACAATAGGCCCACTCACGTTCAACCTAACCTAACCTAACCTAGTGGGCAATAATTTTATATTGATGCAAGATAATGCCCGACCACACACCGCAGCAATAGTGCGAAACTTATTAGAAGCTACTGGTATTACCACATTACAATGGCCTGCGAGAAGCCCCGATATGAATCCTTTAGAACATTTGTGGGATGAATTAGGGAGAAGGGTACGTTCTCGCGGAAGTGGAAGTGGAAGAATGGGATCGTATACCAATGGAAACGATAAGCAACTCAATTTCCAGTATGCCTCGTAGATTAGAAGTTCTTATAGAGTTGCTAGAGGAGGCAATACACGGTATTAAGCAGTCATCCCAATTTATAATTTTGTGTTTAATAAAAATACTTTTCAAAATTATTGATATCAGTTTATTTCAATAGAAAGTTCTTTCTCGATAAATTCAAAAAGTTGTTAATCTGCAAGGATTCAGCAAAACAAGCTGTAATTCGGAAAATTCTAGAGATAAATCAATGAATAAAAAAACAAAATGCTCGCAAAAGAAGCTCCTTTCGTATAGAGTGTAAGCACTTTCTTACTCAATTAACACACAGGGTGAGTCAAATATTAAGAATAAATCATGGTTCGAGTTATTCCAACACCATCAAGGAGGCTTTGAAAAAATTTTCACCTCTCTATTTTTTTTAAAGACAAATGCATTACCTACCAACAAATAAGAAAAAAAAATCGACCTACTATTTTTTGTTTTTTTTTTGTTCAAGAAGATCGGTCAAATATCAAGCGCGTCACTTTTTCTGGAACTGAGTGTATATCAATTACGAAATGCAACACTCAAAAACATGCCCGTCACGTGATTATTGACAGACTGCGCGCTTACACCCCACGTCTTCTTCTATGACTGCAGCCCTTGATTATTGAGTGTAATTTATTGAGTGTAAATAATCAAGGCTTCAACAGAAATTTGAGCCAAAAATATTCAAAATGGATAGTATAGGTATATGTATATCTGCTTAAAAGTTAGAGGATCTGTCACTTCCAGTGAATTTTGTTGATTTTGGAATGAAAAATCAGCAGTTTCATTTGAAGGATAAAAAAGTACGAGAGTATTGGCCTGTGAAAAAAATACTGACCTCGACATTATCCTCAAAGTAATATCTTTGATGGCGTATCCTGAGACAACATATGCATCGTATCCGACCCCTATCAAAAGGGAGCACAAAGCAGTGGCGATTTCGAAAGACTGGCCACTTTGTCGCAAAAATACAGTATGTGGAGAATAGAGACGATGAGGCTGAAAATAAAAATTATAACATTAGTGCAAACACCATGGTGTATTATCTTCGCACCATATCGTTGTATACATCTTGATTGATCCCATGTTGAGCCGGTTGAGCACTTCGTTAATAGATGGCGTTAGTAGTTTGTATTGTCAGAGATTATACACTTCCCTCTGGTATTGTATAAATGTTTATCCATGGTTTTGGCAAGGCAAGGCTTATAAGTGAAACTTTCGAGTGAAACTGATTATTTGAGAGGAGAGGTTCCTTTACTTGATCATTCATCAGAAAATGCGGTGAGGAGAAGTGGTAATTTATGACATTCTAGCGTAATTCCCAACTTCCGGTTTATCTGATGAACAACGGGGCCCCATTTTTTTCGACTCAAATATACTGCATTTGTTGTATAGTGAGAGTAAGCAGGGTAAGGTCACTATAATATCATAACATATAATTCAGATGCAGCGAACTTCAATTTATTTCCAAAAATGGTGATTGGAGGTTGATTAAAACCCACAATAATCGCGAAAAAAACAGCACTCTTGTGTCCTAGAGCGGGCAGTACGTGATGTTAACCGGATTGAGCCGGAAAGAACTTCTTGGAAATCAACATATATATACACAGCGTGTACAATTTCAACCCGCAACACCATTCTAATTTGGAACCCGTCGACTGATTAACAAAAACAAACATTTCATAAAATAATTCTCAACGAGCTCTATTCGAGAATGTGAAAACATTTGAAATATTCAGGTTTTCAAGGCCAACTTTTGTTCGTTGAAGGGGTCAAAATTTCAAAAACGACTATTATGCAATTTTTTTATCGAAACTGTGACTATTCCTTCTTCATATCAATGATCTGTTGGGAGTAACAACTTGCCCCATCCACAGCTTTGCAGATGATAGTACCCTCCATACCGCGTTCTCTTCCAGAATTCCCATTTATTTCCAGGAAACTAAGAACTCACGGCGCAGGCAGGTCAATGAAGATCTTGCTGAAATCACAGCCTGGGGAACCAACAACCTAGTTGAATTCAACACCACCAAAACTCAAGCCTGTATTTTCTCTAGAAAGGCGGAACTCAGTATGCCCGATATTGTAATGTCTGGCTCCACCATCCCCACCAAGCCCACTATATCTATGCTCGGTATTTCCATCAGCAACACTCTTTCATGGGATAATCATGTCAGATCCATCGCAAAAGCTGCTTCACAAAAACTCGGATTCTTGTTCCGTGCGAAAAGCTACTTTACACCTCAACAGCTTCTCATGATCTACAAAGCGCAGATACGGCCTGTTCTAGAATACTGTTCCCACATATGGGGTTCAGCACCAAAACATACGCTGATGCTCTTAGATTCCATCCAGAGAAGAGCCATTCGCCTGGTGGGTGACGCCACACTCACTCACTCTTTGACATCATTGGAACACCGTAGAAAGGTCGGCGACCTTTCACTTT